TGGCGACCCCATGGACAACATTCCTCCAGGCCTTCCTGTCCTCCACCATCCCCCAGAGTCCACCCAGGCCCACACCAACTGCTTCAGTGACTCCATCCAGCCACCTCATCCGCTGCCGCCCCCTTCTTCCTTTGCCATCAATTGTTCCCAGCATCAGGGTCTTCTCCAGGGGGTCCTTCCTTCTCATTAGGTGGCCAAAGCATTTGAGTTTCATCTTCAGGATCTGGCCTTCTAAAGAGCAGCCAGGGTTGATCTCCTCTAGGACTGACCGGTTTGATTGCCTTGCAGTCCAAGGGACTCGCAGAAGTCTCCTCCAGCACCACGATTCAAAGGCCTCAATCCTTTGGCGCTCAGCCTTCCTTATGGTCCAGCTTTCACAGCCATACATTGCAACTGGGAAAACCATCGCCTTGACTATACGCACTTTTGTTGGCAGGGAGATGTCTCTGCTTTTTAGTATGCTATCTAGATTGGCCATAGCTTTCCTCCCCAGGAGCAAGCGCCTTTTAATTTCTTGGCTGCAGTCTGCGGTGATCTTGGAGCCCAGGAAAATAAAATCTGTCACTACCTCCATTTCTTCCCCATCTCTTTGCCAGGAAGTGAGAGGACCGGATGCCATGATCATAGTTTTCTTAATGTTGAGTTTCAAGCCAACTTTTGCACTCTCCTCATTCACCTGCATCAAGAGGCTCTTTAGTTCCTCTTCACTTTCTGCCATTTCTTCTGCAAATAGTTGCTGGCAATGCTCACAAAGATGTGGCATCACTCTGGGGCATGATGGGATACTTAGAGGGCTTCTCCACTGACCAGGGGGACCTGGGGTCTCTCATCTCCCCCCACTGCAGCCCCCTTATTTACCTGGTCCAGCCAGTGGTGATGAGCAGGAAGGAAGGGGCAGGAGACTCACTCGCCTGCTCTCTGCTTGTCCAGCAAGCAAGCAAGTGGCAGCAAAGGGGAGAAGCAGAAGCAGCAGCTGCTGGGGAGAAGGGGGACCCATGGAGGTGCCTTGCCCAAGCGCCCCAGGCCATGCAGCGGGCACTGCATCGGCCTCACTCTCCTGGGGCAGACGACTCTAGTGACCAGCAGCATTTAGTCGATCTCAGAAAACTGCTCCTGCACCTGAGCTGCAGCCTGGTGCTTTCCTGGTTCAATCAGGTGCTGTGTCTTGGCCACCCCACTCCGTGAGAATCATGCCATCATAAACTAATCCCCAGATCACAGAAGTAGTTCTGTGGTTTGCCAATCCCCTCATAACTCTAGCAGAATCAGCCTCGCCCTGGGCCAAGATAAGGGGTGGCTGTGCTTTATCTCTCGTTTTCCTCAAGAGGCCAAGCAGCTGGGAAAAGTTCACTATACAAGCCATAATATATAGATAATACATCCCCCCCCCCCCACGCACGCTTTTGGTATCAGGCTGATGATTAGCACAACCCAAAATGGTCCTGGACTATGTTCTTCGTCACAGAACAAAGCGGTGGCACATCCTGATGTCGGGTGCGCATCTCACATAAAATGAATCCTGGTCCCCGCTAGGCTGGACCGGGGTTGGCACCTGTCTTAAACTAAGCCAGAACTAGCCCTGCAAGCAAAAAGGCTGAAATGGAGGCTGTGGTCCTTTGGGGCCACCCCGAGAAGGAGGACTGAAGAGGACGAGCCTGCCAAGGGAGGTGCAAGGCGGGAGAGAAGCGGGAGGCCAAGCGGGAGAAGGGGGCTTCCCAGAGGAGCCGCAGCCTGGCGTGGGGGCGCGCGGCTGCCCCGACGGGGCGCTCTGGGGGCGCTCCCTCCCGGGGCCGCCCTCGGGCGGGGAACCAAGCGCGGCGTCGGGCGCGGAGGGCCCGGGCTGCTCCGGTCCGGCTCGCAGGACGCGCCCGCCCCTCGCGCGGCCAAGGGCCCCCGCCCGGGGCCG